TGCCATTTAGGTTTGAGGATCTGGGGTTTGAGGTTTGGGGTTTAGGGTTCAGGGTTTAGGCGCTGAGTCTCAGTTCGGCTTTAGGCTTTCGGGTCTCCCTGTTGGAAGATTGGAAGCTTTTGAGCAGGGAGAGTTGGAGCCTCATGACGTGCAGAGCCCAGTAAACCTTAAGCTTCCTAATTCGCATGTCGGATATCATTAGCAATAATGTCCCCTTATAGTGCTATATAATGATAGTACTGTAAGCCCCTGCTTCGTCCTATAGCTATAGTATTAGATATTCCTGAGAGGTTAAATGTTTTATATTGCATAATACATACTGTATATTATATGTTGTCCATTTTGTATTACCAATTCTACATCAAACACACAAGTATCAGCTATACTACAGGTTTTTCATGTTATATACTAGATATAATCGAGTCTAGATGCAGTATATTTCATATTGTATTCTATATTCTTTATTTTACATTACACAGGCTATATACTGTATAAATCTATATATTATGCTATATGTTGCATGTTCTGTGTTATGTTCTATGTTGTATGTCGAATATGCTATGCTATATGTTATGTTTTTCTATATTTTACATTATGTTATGTATTTCTGAATTGTCTATATGCATGTATGTATATATATATATATATGTATATATATATATACACACATATTGTATGTTTCACCATCTATTGTATATTCTACTTTATTTATCAAAATATATCATATATATATATATACATACATGTTCTACATTTCTTTTCTGCCTTATGTCTTGTGTATTTTATCTTACATACTATGTACCATATATTTCATTATGCATATATATATATATGATACTATGTGTTATCTATTCTGCATCATGTATTACATACTATATACGATATGTGGTACATTACATTTCGCCTGTTAAACAGCAGAACTGTAGATGCTTTGCATTTGTTTATGTATTTACTAAATAAACAATAAATAAATAAATAAATATATATATATATACATGTATGACACATGGCATGTCTGATATATATATATATATACATATTATATGTTTGTACCTGATTTTCCATATTGATACATATTTATCATTATATACTGCATGTTAAACAACATTGTATTTTTATCACTGACAGTATATCCACTATATACTACATGTTTATAACATGTTTTATGTTCATAATCTTCTAGCTTTTTAACTATTTCCCACGCATTATGTATTATGTTGTATATTCTGTTACATATCACTTCATGCAGCCCGAGGGTTGTTATAAAGACATCGTTCGCCACCCAAAAGCCGCAATTTCCAAGGTATCAGGCGCACTTTTCTCGGCAATCAGTGCTGGCTTCTTTCTCCCGACCGGCTCCGAGACGCTGTTCTGCTGTGGAGTTGAGGTTAGGTTTGTGGAACTTGAGAAACCCTCAACCCTAAACCCTCAACGCTCAACCCTAAACCCTAAACTGGTTAAGTTGTCGGCTTGAGACTGAGCTGGGGTGTTGGAGTGGAGCTTTCCATGGCACTGGAGCTTCACAAGACTGCTTGACGTAGGGCTTGGGACTCTCAACGCTGAGCCCCAAAACCCCTAAACTTTAAAGTCTAATTTAGGATTACGCATGCAGGGAATGAAACCCCTAAACTATACATTTTTAATTTAGGACTACGATTTCTGCATGAAGGGCCCGTCGCCCAAGCCATGTCGCGGAAGATCCACATGTGGGTTCGCTCAAGCTTTGTCAGAGATGGGTATGCACCCAAATACCACAAAGAGTTGTCACTAGATCTTCCAAAAGTACGGAGATGTCTCAACTTCTCACCAGAAACAGCCCGGCACCCCAAGCAGTCTTCCATTCGGGACGCCCAAGATGGGAATGTCCATGCAGTGGCGAAAGAACCAACTGAGAGCCGAAGAAGGGTGTGGAGAGCTGCCGACAGGAATCCGCAAGAGAGCTTCGAAGCAGTTTAGGGTTTAGGGGTTTAGGGTTTAGGGTTTAGGGTTTAGGGTGTAACCTATGAACCCTGATTAGGCTTTAGGGTTGAGGGTGTAGGGCCCTAAACCCTAAACCGGAGCCCCTTATGCAAGGTCCAAGCTCTGACCCAGGATGAAGTTGCTATTGGGGCAAATTTTCAGGTTACCATCAGGGTACTTTGGGCTTATAGGGGATTGGGATTTTGAGTGCCCTAAACCTTAAGCCCCTAAACCCTAAACCCCTAAATCCTAAACCCCGAAACCATAAACCCTAAACCGATCTCAGGACCTCCTTCCCAAGTGCTTTCTCACTACTCACACGCACGGTTGTCTTCGCTGCCTTCTGCTTGGCTTCGGCGCCTTGTCCTCAAGACCGTTCCCCTCAGACCTACTTTAGGGACCAATATCATTACCAAAACTATTTTTTGGGGATCCTTGTTATGATTATAACGTTCTCCAAAACCTTTTAATTGCGAAGGCCCCTATATTGCACCCCCCGTATCTGGAGTTTCGCTCGAGCCCAAGTGGCAAAACTGCTTGAGCCATGGACTGACATAACTTATGTCATTCCGGTATTTCGGGTCTGTGAAAAATTCAGGGTTGAGAGTTTAGGGTTTAGGGGATATTGGCCAGACTCCGACAGTCTGGATGTAAGATGGTGAAGGATGGAGTTGGATGTTATTTCTATTATTGTGGGGGCCCAAGCCATCAGGAATTATTCTTTGCGTCCCCATCTGAGACCAGCCCATAACGTTGTTCTTGTTCGGTACACTTCCGGCACAAATCTCGAAGCCTTGGTCTGCACAGTTGGCGACTGGAGCCCTAGATGAGACACGAAGCTAAACCCTAAACCCTAAACCCCAAGCTCTCTAAGTCCTGAGCCCTAAAAAAGCACCCTAAAACCTAAACTCGAAACCCTAAATCCCATACCCTAAAACCTAAACCGCCGCCCTTCTCCGAAAAGTCTCAAGCTTAACCGCCGATTCTCGAAACCGAACCCGAAGCTTCTATAACTTAACCCTAAATCCCACTCTGAATACAGGCTTCGGGGTCCGAACTTAGGGTTCAAGGTTTAGGGTTTAGGGTTTACGGTTATTAAACAGACCATGCAGGGCTTAGGGCAGAGTTGAGGTTCAGGAATGGTAAGTGCACATATAGACTTAGCCTTCATAATGCAAGTACTCCGAGTAGACCATGCAGCCTACTCCCAAGCATTGCAATCGTTTAGTTAGGGCCGACCTCTGTCCAAGGTTCACACAATCCGGAGCCCTGTTTGAGAGAAACTGTTCCAGATCCGGAATGTCCAGTTGATATTGAACCCTAGCTTTTGGGAATGCCCCCCCCCCCCCAACAGAGGCGTGGTTTTGCCAAACAATCTGTATCAGTTACAGGTGTTGATCATCATCGGATTGATCGCGGTCAAGTGCTATGGCAGGAGCTGTTCTCTCTCGTCTAATCTCCATGACAGGAGAAGTACCTACGCCGGCGCCCATCGTAGCAAGAACACTAGCATGGTTGACACTAACAATAATCGTAAGTAGTATTGTTCGTCATCCTATTTGCCGCCACACTGTCACCAAAGAATGCAACCTCGTGATCAGAGCAGAATCATCGCACTCTCAAGGGGATGGTTCCCACCCATATCAGTTTTCGTGAACCTCAAAGGTCGTGCTTTCGCAAGTTAAATCATTCTTACGAACAATCTGATGCTGGGGTATCACTTTCATGATCGAGAGCCAAGGAGTCACAGCATTTTAGCTGAGACACACGCGCGAACGCATGACTACAGATCATGACTATCAGGACTTTCGCATCGGGGCCTGCAGAAGAGTGTGAGCTACTGCGACATCCCTAAAGGCGGCAATCAATGCAGCAGTAGTAGTAGTCGTCGTCGTGGTAGTAGTAGTAGTAGTAGTAGTAGTAGTAGTAGTAGTAGTAGTAGTAGTAGTCGCCGTCTTCGTTGTCGTCATAGCAGCAGGCATGACAATGACAGTAACAGTGACAGTGGCAGTGGTAGTACAGAAGTAGCAGTAATCTCTGAGATAGTATTCAGCAACAGCTTTACCTGTGCAGTGGTAGTATGACTGCTACTGACGGTACTGGCAGCTTACTCAGACTGCGAAGACCGGTTGTGGCGGTAAGGCAGCAATGCAACGATGCGATTTGTTCAAATGCACGAGAATCAAAACAATTGGGAGACATCCAGAGTAGCAGCAGATACGAGTATCGGATAGGTGAAATAATTCGCAGAATCAACAGCTTGAACAACTAAATTTTATTGTTGTGATTCTATTGATCGCTGTTTGAAGGACCCGTCGGTTTGGTTGGATGGACCTTATGATCAAAAGACGCTTGGCAAAGCTTAGTCACAGGCGGTCGCCGGAACTCGCAGGAACCCAAGCGATGCGGATAAGTGACAGAACAACTCGCGAGAATTGAAGTACACCCCACGGCCTCGGACCCCTTTCGGGGATTAGCTAATCCACTCCTCCACAAAGCCATCCTTGTAGGATGCATGGGGTGGGGTTCTGGTGTTTCTCAAGGGGTCAGAAGCATCTAGTGAACTTTAGAGGCCTCGCATACTTACTTTGGGTCAGTCATCATCAGTTTTGTCATAACACTGGTAAGTCTTGATCGGCGCTCAAGCACGGCCATCACAACATCTATGACGCCCACAACTCGAAGAGGGTCATACCTTGTTCTATGTAGGGGCTCGAGAAGAAAATATTTATCGTTTAGGGTTCATAGGGTTTATAGGGGTTACGCAGGGGCTTAGGGGTTTAGGGGTTCATAGAATTCCGAGTTTAGGGTTTAGACACGCGGAAGCAAAGCCGCAATGAGGGGCGGGAATGAAGATGCCCTGCCCGACCAGGCAGTGCGAGTAGCCTGCGACCTTCCACACTTTAGCCAAGCTTCGGAACAGCCAGCAATAAGAATCATAGTGTTTAGCGAAAAGAAATAGTATCGGCTGTGATGTTCATCGAACTTAATGCGCAGCGCTCCAGAACCAAACTAACGTGTCTTTCGAAGCTGATTGGGTTCAAGCCTTGTGCAATTCGACGCAGCGTCTACTAATCACAAATCCATCGCTTCCATGTCGGTGCGCATCAAACTGTCGTTCGTCATCGCCTTGCTTCTGCAGTGTCCGGTGGTCATCGATGGGGTCCGCACCGTAGATATGTCTGAGGGCAGCGTGGCACGGAGTTCCGGCTCAGACGCACTTTCTTCTCGTATGACTGTGCGCGAGACAGAGACGCCACTGGTCAGCATCCACTTCTCGATGGAGCCGGCGGAGATGCAAAAAATGCTGGGGGACCGCCTGGTGCCGGATGTGTATGATGGTAAGGCCTTCATCCAGGTGGGGGTTTGCGAAAACAGGAGACCCTAATATAGTGCCCTAAATAGTAGGATCCTTATTAATAAGGACCCCAAAATAAGGGACCCCTTATTTTCGGAAACTCCCAGGTATCCATGTTCTACATTACCAACCTGGAGGCTCACACCCCACTCGGCTTTGTGCCGACCCTGATGAGCAGCTGGTGCATGCGCATTTCCGCGTATGTGAAGCTGAAGGACTCCGGAGAGAAGGGCTACGTGATCCTGTCGGCGGACTTCGAGAGCTCGTTTTTCGGCAAGATCATGACCAGTGCCTGGGGCCTTAAAGAAACTTATTTTCTTTACGGAGCTCCTTTTGAAAATCAGAACAAGGAACCATAAAAAGTGGGTTTTGTCGGCTACAGGTGGCTGCAAGAGTTCTCAGCTGGGAACCATGTGTGGCACTGTCGCGGTGAACCGGACGAAGATGAGTTACGGCCAGTTGTTCTCCGTGAAGCAGGGCGGGAATGAGATCCTGCACCTCGCTGCCCAGTTTGGCAATGTTTCCAACACTCCCTTCTTCAACTGGGCCAACGAGCGCTACGTGCGTTTCCAACTCAGCGCAGACAAGAAGACCCTGAAGCGCGGCACCCAGCCTGAAAATACCAAGATCTGGGAGGGCAACTATCAAGTGAAGCTCGCCGCTGGTGCCATCGACCCCATCTGGTCGAAAGTCTTCCAGACCAAGTTTGCCGGGTACGGCTGGGGACACCTCGACGACCCCGTCCCCGAACCCTGTGGCCAGGGCTGGTGCTTCTTCTCTTCGAAGGCGGCCTTTGTGGACAACGAGGCCACAGTCCTAGCCGTGAACGACACAGAGGCTTGAGACCGAACGGTTCACTCGGCCTGGAAAAGATCAGAGCCTCCATGCATCCATGGCAGAAGCATGAAGAGGCAGCGTCTGCACAAGCCTAAACCCTAAACCCTAAACCCCTAAACCTAAGCCCTAAACCCTAAACCCTAAACCCTAAGCCCTAAACCCCTAAACCCTAAACCCTAAACCCTAAACCCTGTCATCTCATGTCGATGTTCAGCCAGGGCGTAGGATGCGGACCGCTCCACTGTTGAAGACTTTGCAAGAGCCAAGCTGCTACTCTGAGATTCCGCGAGGTAACATCGAAGCCTAAAGAGTTCCCAATATTAGGGTTTTAGGGTTTAGGGTGTAGGGAATAGTTTCCAATATCATCCCGTAGATTTTTGATACTTCTACGATAAAGGAGCCCCCAAAACCCTAGTCCAAGCAGCAAGAAAATCCGAGAAGAGTCGCCCAGGTGACTTTCAGAACCTCCACGACGGCCTCTTTAGCATCATGGAGTCTTTAGCATCTTGCTTGAAGGAATTCTGGCCCTAAGCCCTTAGCGCTAAACATGGAGTCTTCTAGCGTCTTGCCTGAAGGCATACCGACTATTTTTCTACTATATATTGCTATACTACTATATTATCATGCTACTGTATTAATACATAACTATATGATGATATTACCATACTATCGTATTATTCTACTAAGCATACTACTAGACTGCACTTCTGTATTACTATACTGTCGTACCACTGTACTACTCTACTACTATACCACTGTACTACTATACTACTTTACTAATGCTCTATTGTTACTGCTATGAAATGCTATTAGTATTGTTGTTGTCACTATTAGTCTTGTTCTCACTATTGTTATGTCAACAACAACAACAACGACACCTACAACTACAACTATTACTACATTGCTCTATCATGACTATTATTGCTATTGCTATTGCTATTGCTGTTATTGTTATTGATACTATTAGTAATATTTTATCATCATAATCGCTTTTTGTTGCTATGTTTATTGCTGCCGTAGTTCTTGCGAGGCTCAGAGACTTTGAAGGACCCCTGCATGCTCTGACCCGCTCTGGGGCCCACGACATACGATGATGAATCTGGAAGTCGAGGCCGAGATGTCAGAAGATCATCTGCTTGCGAAGATGTCGCGGATGTGCCCTGGCATCTAGATCCTCTCTGGGTCATACCGTAGGGGCTGTAGCCCCAAAAGGTTGAGCTACGGGATGGATGCCATGCTGAGACTTCTGGGTCTACGCCGAAGGGCGCCTAAGAAACCCTCGGCCCTAAACCCTAAAGGCCCTAAAGCCTACCGGAGGTTTTTCTAAGAGCCCAGGGATCTTTGCCTTCCATGAGCCTGGGAACCCAATTCATCCACCAGCATCCCCCACATCCCGCAAAAAGCCATTAGGCCTCAGGGGTTTCTTTCGGCTTTATGGGATTGTGTAACGGTGGTTGTAGGATTGTATCTAGGACATTTTCAGGTGGGTAGTTACCTTTATAGAAGGTCTATATACCCTATGGAAGCCTTATAGAAGCCCTATATACCCTAAACTCCCCACCTCTAGTTTCCGTTAATTGTATTGGTGTTTTTCCGACTGCGCCCTCCTCCTCCGACAGCACAGGCAGCCTTTCGATCAGAGATTGCTGAAGAGCTGCATCTGCATGCTCTCTATGGAGGCAATGGTGTAGAGTTTCAGGGTCTTGGTGTTCTCGGGTTAGAGGTTTAGGGTTCAGCGTTTAGAGTTTTAGGGTTTAGGGTTTAGGGTTTAGGGTTTCAGGGTTCAGGGTTTAGGGTTTCGGGTGTTTGGGACGGTTTAGGGTTTAGTCTAGGGCATTTTCAGATGGGTAGTTACCCTTATAGGAGCCTTATAATAATAGAAGGTCTATGTACCTTATAGAAGCCTTATAGAAGCCCTATATACCCAAAACTCCCCACCTGAAGTTTCCTTTAATTTAGGGGTAAAAGGTCCAGGGGTGTTTGGGGAAGGGCGCGGTTTCAGGGAAGAGCGCCCAAGACCCGCCTCAGCCCAAACCCTAAATGGGGGTCTCCGAAAATAGGGGACCCTAATATAGTACCTTAAACAAATAATAGGATGCTTATTATAAGGACCCCAAAATAAGGTACCCTAATTTTCTGAAACTCCTAAATCCCCTTCTGGGGTTCAAGGCAGGGGAGAGAGATAGAGGAAAGAGACACGGAAGTCACTTGCACCTTCTCCAAGCCCCAAGCCCTAAACTCATGCCTTCAAAAAAAATCATGAACTTCGCCCCAAACCCTAAACCCTAAACCCTAAACCCTAAACCCTAAACCCTAAACCCACCAAATACAACGCTCAAAACCCAAGGCCCCCCAGGCCCGAACCACAGGGCCAGTTTTGAGCCTTAAGCCCAAAGCCTCCCCAGCCCCATATCCTACCGTTGATGATATAAATCTTGCATTACCAAGAATATTCATATAGGGTTTAGGGTTTAGGGTTTGGGCTTCCGATAATAAGAGACCATAACTCCCATAGTTTAGGGTCCTTAAGGTAATGCAGGATTTATATCATCAACAGCATATAGTACCGAAGCGCAACATGGTCCATGGTAGTTTCAGAAAATGAGTCCGGAACCATAGGATTCTAGTATGAGGACGAAAATGCAACCCCCGAACGTCATGCCAAGCTAGGCCTCTGAGGCCCATGAAGCCTTGCATCCTGCCGTCAGGTTGTTCCACATGACGCCTTCCGGACCTCCATGCAGATGAAGATTGGCTGAACAGCTTTGGGGGCTTTGGAGGTATGTATGTCTGGGATTTCAGACGATGAGGTGTTGGGGCCGGCTGTGTTCCATCTGAATCATCGGGGGGGAGGGTGATGCCCTCGTGGTTCTGAGACGTGCGAGGTCGCAGGAATGCATCCGAATATCCTGGACTCCAGCCCCTGAGAGGTTTGAGACCCAAGTCTCGAGCGACCTTCTGTGTTCTCTACTGCTCCTGCCATGTAGGGTTTAGGGTTTAGGGTCATATCGGGCGTTTAGGATGTAGGGCCCCGGGCCTAAATCTTGATTGACACCATGGACACGGTCAGAGAACGATCCAGCCCAACATGCAGTGGAGCATCCCTCTTGCCGAGACAAGCTAACCCTGAACCTCGGACAGGATCCTCACCAAAACCCCTCAAAACCAGAACCCTAAACCCTAAACCCTAAACCCGAAACTCGGAAAGTGGGACATATTCAAGACCCGGCGCCCCTCATCTGGGAAATTTTACAAGCTCTCAACGCCCGAGTTTCAGCTTAGGCGAGCTACTGCCCGCATCAGGCGGAGGGGTCGGGACTAAAATTCGCAAAGGAGATGGATCCTTCTTTGTGTTTAGGGTTTAGGGTTTAGCCCCGTTTAGGGTTTAGGGTTTAGGGTTTAGCCCCGTTGGGGGTTTGGGGATGTTTAGGGTTTAGCCTCGTTTAGGGTTTAGGGTCTAGGGTTTAGCCTCGTTTAGGGTTTAGGGTTTAGCCCCGTTTAGGGTTTAAGGTTTAGGGTTTAGCACCGTTTAGGGTTTAGGGTTTAGGGTTTAGCCTCGTTTAGGGTTTAGGGTTTAGCCCCGTTTAGGGTTTAGGGTTTAGCCTCGTTTAGGGTTTAGGGTTTAGCACCGTTTAGGGTTTAGGGTTTAGCCTCGTTTAGGGTTTAGGGTTTAGCCCCGTTTAGGGTTTAGGGTTTAGCCCCGTTTAGGGTTTAGGTTTTAGCCCCGTTTAGGGTTTAGGGTTTAGCCCCGTTTAGGGTTTAGGGTTTAGCCCCGTTTAGGGTTTAGGGTTTAGCCTCTTTTAGGGTTTAGGGTTTAGCCTCTTTTAGGGTTTAGGGTTTAGCCTC